AATTTAGATATCTCACTCGTTTGCTGCGCTCACTCGTGAGATATCAATTGAACACTCGAAGATAAAATTCGTATCTCCGCGCGCCCATGTAATATCCTCTATTTATTATTCTTTCCGAGAATACGAAGAAACAGGATTCAAATTAATAACCGATTCAAAACTCGAATTCTGATTGGAATCCACATAAGGAACACCATTTTGAACCGTTCATTATTTTGAACGCTAAGTCTTCGTATTCTAAGAAAGAATGATAAATAGAGGATATTACATGGGCGCGCGGAGATACGAATTTTATCTTCGAGTGTTGAAAAGATCTCTCACGAGTGAGCGCAGCGAACGAGTGAGAGATTTTCAACACGAGAAGATAAATTTCGTATCTCCAAGCGGCCATGTAATATTCTGTTTATTATATAATTATCAATGAAGTATGTTTTGGCTTTTTCGGGCAATTCTTTCCGTGTATTTTTGAATAGCCATCGCAATGGTGTTATTTTCACACGTGAAAATAACATGTTATTTTCACGTGTGAAGATATCAATTTTTCGAAATAGAGAAAAATAGATATTTCATTGGTAATTATATAATAAAATTTAATATTTGAATAATGAATCCATTATTGTAATCTATAAGGGTAAGCTTGAACCGTTTTGACTGTAAGACAATAACACAATAAATGAACTCCCAGCATGCAAATCAGTAAATGTACTCCAGCGTATCTAAGATATTTGTTAGTCAATGTTGTTTCTTATTATCTGGAATTAAGCTTTATTTTCTTCTTTTCTTAACAGTGACTAGATTTTAAAAATCTTTGTGGAATTCTTTCCTCGGGCCAACATTTTAAGTCGACCTGAATGCACAGTTTCGTACCCAGAGCCCCTCGGTCTCGTTCCTCTCGAGATCAAAGAGCTCTGGTTACGGGGCTGTATGAATGCGCAGCTTATCTTGAGTCGTAACGAATCAAAACAAAGCCTAATACTTCGTCATACGCAGACATATCAATTAAAAGAAACTAGGCATTTTGCTTTTTGCCGATTTGGTTTGGTTAAATAGGGCAATTTTGGGCCGATTGTTTTATTTAAGACAATATGGGATGTCGAGGGGGCAAATATTGGAAAATTTATAGACTGCAAAGCTGTCCGGATGTCTTTTTATATATAACCTTACGTATTTTAATCAGAAGCTAGTTGGAACAATATGCGAAACATCAAGGCTTCAAATGATTCGATAACCTAACCTTGCCACTTTTCCCTGAAGGCAGAGGCTCCTTTTTTCTCTCTCTCTCTCTCTCTTTTTTCGGGACGTGCGAAACCGATTCAGTCACAGCAAAAGAAAAGGAGACCCTGTTAGCAGGGAACCCCGCCACTCTATTTTCTTTATAAACTTTCTACGTGTTTGCCCTCTCGGCACCACATAGTTCAAGATGACCACCAGTGGCGGATCCAGGATTTTGTTCAGGGAGGGGCGCTGCGCACAAATTTAATTTAATCCAGGGAGGGTGTACACCCCCTCCCCTGGATCCGCCCCTGACCACCGTATCAGTAAAATGTCTATTCGCAAAGATTTCCGTCCTATGTATATAGTAGTGATGCCTTTCTGTTGCTACGTGCTCAAGATCAACAACTTCATGTCAGTCTCGCTTTCAGGCCGATTCAAGATGGCGGATATTTGCGGAATACGCGAGTCATACATTTGAATATAACTCCTAGAGCTATTACATCGTTATTTCAGATTGAAAAATATTTTTTAAGCATTTTAAGCCATATTGGATGATTCTGTTTCAAAGGATCTCGGTTGTCTATGTAACCAGACCATATTTGTATTCAATTCTTCACTGAATTGTTTAGATCTGTTATAATATTTTTACAACATTTTTTATACCATGTAATGAACCTTTATCGCAATAAAGAAGTTATGATATATCGAGGGTTTCTATCCAGTTATTCTGCCTCCAGAAAACTCTATATCTACAAGCTAAGCCAAATATTAATTCAGTCGAGCGATCTGTGAGTTTGACACGTTCCCTGATTTGCAAAGAAGTTGTTCCAAGGTTCGCCGATTAACTTCTTAGATATAGGAATCATCACAGCCGAATTGCAGGAGTTCATTTGACAGGTTTGCAAACCCCAATGTGCCGTCTGTTTAAGATTTTTTCATAGCCGGTCGGACATCGGGACATACATACCGTCCCATCCTTATTCGTTAGTTTTGCGTAACCCTTGGTACACTTCATACAGTGTTGCAGACTGATACACTTCTTACATCCACGTGGACATTCTGTAGAAAACAGATACAATGGCTTTTATTTAGAGCGCAATGTGAGTTACTTAGATCGGCTTACTCAGTAGTCCAGATCATACAGTCATTAGAAAGGCGGACTTTATTAACAGCCCATGCAGGCGCGGATCGCGGCGCAAGGAACGCCTTATCACGTCTACGTTTAGAGTTATTTATTTCGTAGTGATTGATCACAGTGCTTTCAGTTCAAACCCCGCTGAACTATACACTGCTGTATTTGCGGTGGTAAATACGAGGCTAAGCCTGAGTAAATGAGTCTGTAATCAAGGAACACAGTGGTAATTTGGAACTTGAAAAAAGTCTATTGGTCACCAAGATTGATTATAGCGAATCGCTCTGTTGTGTTTATCTTAAGAGGGAATTCTTTTYGTATTCAAGCAGTGAGCGCCAAAAAAACTATTTCCTTGAAGATAGGCTGTTGTACAAGGCTAAAATCTTGTTATTAAGAAAGTTTAACTTGTTTGGAAGTGGAGATGACCGATGAAAGTGGAATCAAAGTGTTAACCCAAAGCAAAACTTTTATTCCAAAATGAGGTTTAGGACTTCATTAATTGCATGCTTATTTTCCATACATTTTCTATAAAAAAGCCTGACAAAGCAACATTCTAACACAAATGCAACAAAACATCTTCGTACAATTGAAAATACCGCTTCAAACAGGCATTTTATCATACTACATCAGTTTCTAACTGTTTAAAAAAGGTTTTTAGTGTTAACCCAAAACGAAAATTGGGATCAAAACTCATGCGAAAGTTTTGGCGCTTTTTGTCATTATTGCTCATTATTGAAAAAAATTTCCTCTTAATAAGTTGTGGCACAAAATAAAATCATTACTTACTTAAGCATAGTTTACGCACTGTACCCACGGTATAGTGTCCTTTTGGACATCGCTTACGGCATAGTCTTCTGGTAACACGATACAAGCCTGGCTTACATATGCTACAAAACTCATCCTCACATCCGCCTTCAAATTAGATAGGAAACACTGTCAACATTGAATAATTTCAATCGGTACGCTTCAAACCCACCGCTGTTCACTGCTATGGTTCAAACCTCAGATACTCCATTATCAGTGTAGAGTTGGTTGTTGGTTCCCTCTTGTACCTCGGGGATAAATTTCTCAAATTCACTCCCCCCGCAAAGATTAACCAAATTCTAATAGTCCCCTTTACAGTTCCCTCTGCACCATCTCTTGAAAGGAAGCTGTGCCTTTGTATCGAAGCGAGACGAACGGTAAGCTTGTAATGACGATATAGACCTTTTTTAACACCTTGAACAATTATTCACGTCTCTACCATTGCAAGCACACCGTTTGTCTTGCTTCGATGCAAAAGGCACAGATACCTTTCAAGATGGCGCAGGGAACTGTCAAAGGGATTATTCGATTATGGAACGAAGGCCAAAGTTATTGAGCCACCAAGGCCAAATATCAGTCGTTTACCCTTTACAATACTTACGTCTTTTCAAAGGGATGCACCTTTTTCTCATCTTTCTAAATCCCCTCGGACAAGCAGAAACGCACTTTGTCTCATCGAAGAGCGACATCTTGATTTTCAAAAAGTTCTTTGAGCAGCTTTTACAACTGGCGTCATTTGGACAGTACTTGCAGTTTGGGATAGTTCGACATACTGAGGACCAGGAAAAAAAGTTATAGCATTTTATAAAACATCTCTTTTTTAACTATTTGTGCCACATCGTAAAATTATTGATCATGAAATACGAAACGCGCTCGTGTGCTGAGTTTAGTCATAAAGCACGCGGGGATTGGCAGAGTACAAGAGATGTGTGAGGAGAAGCTCGACCTAGGCTTAGAGGCCTTATGTATTTATTYAAAATTTCATTTAAAAAATACAACCCAAATGTATCCAAAATGCATGAGTAGCTTTGTTGCAATTGGAGCGACCATACAAGTGCAATAAGTGCATGGTGGACCTTTATACGCGATAAGTCTTCTTCAGCTCGTATTCTTTATATACCAAGGTTTTTTATTGAAGAATAAGAAAACGTGCTCCTATCGCGTGCTGTGTGCAGTTATAAAGCACACGGGGATGGCAGAACACGAGAGAAGTGTTAGGAGCGCTCTGTGCTCTCATAAAGCTGTACGCGCTCCCAACAAAGAGATTTTATAAACTATAATAATTTCGCCGTACTCCGTCAGTTCATTATTTAAGACTAACCTTTCTTTTGTTCCTGTCTTTGACAGTATTGTCCAAAATACTCTGACTTGACCTCAGCATATTTGGATGGACACTTCACCACACAGATCATCGTAAGGTTTGACCTGCATCATTGGAATAGCTTGTTAAATGGTTACAGATAGTTTTATCAATAGGGGAAATAACATCATAATTAGCTTAATAACCATGTAATCTCTGTGATTAATGTTGATGTACGTAGTGGTATAATGGTAAATTGCCAGTTGTGACCCCAAAATGTTGGATTTCTAGAAAATGTCAATAAAGCCCGAAAAAAATCCTCGAACGCTGCATATCCGGTATTAAATGTACATGCCGCAAGATCCTTGGGATTTCAAAGGAAATAAACACTCGGCAAATTCCCAAATCTGAAAAAGATGGAGTGGAAGGAGAGGAAGTGAGGTGAGGAAGGAAAAACGGGAACCAGCGAGGGAGCGGGGACAGGGGGGGGGGGGGGGGGGGGGGGGGGAAGAGGGAGGGAAGGACGGAAGGAAGGACGGAATTAGGAAGGAAGCGATGAAAAAAGGAAAGACAGGTAAAATGAAGAAGGAAAAACAGAAAAGAAGAAAGACAAAAAAACGGAATAATCGTAGGAAATCATGCTTGAAGAAAGTACGTACTCGTTAAAAAATGTCATGTAACCATTCTTGCACTTTCTACACCACATTTTGTCCAGACAAATGTCACAGTTTGGAACTTTTGTTCGGCACTCTGGAGTAAAAAGAAAACAGTGATCAGAAGGTTCTTGTTTATAAATGCTGCAGTCTCAGTTCTTCAGTTTCCAAAACTATTTCTAAAAGTACAAGAAAATATGGCGGCCATGTTGGAAGACACATTAAAAACACATCATCCAATATGGCGGCTATGGTAACACTGAGCAAACACGAATTTCCGTTACAGTTAACAATATGTGCAATATTTGTCAGGAAAATAACCAAAAGCAAAGCACTTATCAAGTTTTAAAAAATTTTAAATTTAACTTAACGTAACGTGTAGCACACCAAACAAAATTATGAAATCTTCACACATTTAGAGATCTTAATCAAGTTCAAAAAAGCACTTTTTCCCAGAAGATGAAACTGTTGCAGTAATTTCTCCGCATGTGAATATATTTATATATTTATTAGTATTTATTTATTAATATATTTATTCATATCTTGTGTTGCTATGCCTTCGATTCTAAGCTATCAACACTTTTTGCTACAGTTCAACTTTCTCTGCCCCAAAAGCACTCGATTTCCGCAGATATTCTTTTATGTTGATTGAGAAATGTTAGACGTTTTCAGATTTATCCAAAAATCTGAAACTCAACCCCCCAAGACTTCGGATTAGTGTATGGAGTTGATCTAAATATACGTACATACCCCTAGGGTTACCTATTTCCTCTACCAGGGGGGTAGTAATACTATACTATAGTCCCGGCATTTATGTCCTTACCTGTTCCACGTAGCTTACACTCATGTGTTCCATCACTTCGTACAGTACGCCGAGACCACCTAGGGCATCTTCGTACACATTTGGAATTTTCTCTCACCGATGTACGCAGTAAATAAAACCCTGTGGCACATTTATTGCAGCTATTGGTACGTCTGGGGTGGCACGTTGAACAATGTGGGACCATGCAAACTAAAGAGATTACAAAAAAAAAAAACAAAAACAAACAAACACAAAAAAAAGAATAAATAGTTTTCAAGAAATTGAGCGTGTGACCAGATTTTTTATGTATAAATCAGGAACCTAGGATGACCTGTTGTTGACACTGCTGTCTTCGACTGCTTATTGGAAGTCAGAGAAACTATACAGAGCTGAAATACTGCTCTTCTATTAACTCATCATTTCCAAACTTATAAGGAATATAAGATTTGTAATATATGGGGTACCTTTCTTGGTAAAGGCGCACGTAGGGCCGAGTCTTCCTTTAGTCTTAATCTTGTACCCTTTAGGACAGATTTTGGTACATCTCACGCTCTTTGAGGGAGGAAAGTATTCCATGAACATGTAGCCGTCTYGACACTTGACGCACCGGTCGAAATCCAGGCACTTGTCACAATATGGGATGAGACCACAGCCTAGAGCAGTGATGAAACAGGTTAAGCTGTTTATGCACGCAATCTCTTTTCTGCATGGCATTGCAGGGAAAATAATTTTTGATCTTTGAGGTGCGTTATGGGGGCGAAAGAAATTGCAGAAATTGGAGTGTTTTACGAGTTATCCGGGTTTTTAACTCGGCCGCTCCGCAAAAATCAACTTCTAAATTCCAATTGACCGTTTCTCAAGGTTGCGTGCGCATCCAAGTTTAAGAAACTTGACGGGCCACGATACCAGAATATGAGTATTATCATAACATTGCTATAAAATCTTTTTCGATAAGAATTCATAGAATCGATAATTCTCCTCTTTAAATATAAAACTGTCTTCTCAATTTTACTGAATTTGTGTTTTTCAGTTTTGTGGCCCGTCAAGTTGGATGCGCAAACAACTTTGAGAAAATCCACCAAATCGGTTGCAAAATAGTGCTATAAAAYTTTTGTGTCTAACTTCTGATATTTCCAGACCGTCAAGGGTGCAGGAAAAGAGCATCTTGTGACATTTGTCAAATTTCGTTGAAATTGCTATTAAAAAATGCGCAAATGGTGTGCAATAAAAGTCCGACAAAATTCTCATTTTTATTTCCGACTTCTGAAATTTCCGGGGCTTCTAAAAATGATGTTAAACAAAGTTCATCTTTCACGTGGAACCCTTATACATCATGTAAAAGTTACGTAAAGAAATGTACTGGGGAAATACAAGTCTAAGATCTAGACGTCAACGCCTTCTTAGAAACTGAAACGTTATCGGATATAAGACAGAAAAATCTATCTATTACGTCAAGGACTGGCTTTTTTTACACATCATGAGATCGTGTCAAGTCGTCGCCATTTGGCTCCTTCGTGGCTGCTGCTGCTGTTGTCGTATTATGAGCATGAATCAGTATCACGGGAAATATATGGTCTATGCTAAGACTTTGTATTCTTTATTCACTTAATATCAGTTGTTAAGTAAATTGATTGAGGCAAACTTCCTTCATGTCAATGTATTTAAAACTTTCGCCGGCCGAACATCACAGGATTCTCAAAATTCTCATCGTCTTTACGTTAATGAGTGAAGTTCAAAGACCAAGTACAGCTAGCTCTCTGTTTGGTAGTGTTTGTGTCTTTTAACAGTGGCCTGTGCTAAAGATTTAAGTAGTACAATATTATCACATACCAGGGCGTTTCAGCATAGTACGTACACACGGTGACCCCTACTACATTTTGATCAAAACCAAATCATTTACCTTCAGACAAATCAGTTTTCATTCGCAAAGGTTAAAGGATAGACCTCGCGCGCTAATTAGGATTAAGAATTAGATTGTTTGTTTGAGTCGTATCCATATTTATGTGTAACCGTTAAACAAAGAAATGACACGTGGGCTGAAATGGGAAAACATTAAGCACGAGCACGCCCGAGGCGAGCGGTTTATTGATAATTATGTTGAATATTCATAGTATAGCAGGTCATGTTCGACCGAGAACTTGAACTGATTTAAGTGAATTGTTTTTTTTTCTTTTTTAAAGTCTCAATGCCAACAAACAACATCGATAGAAGATTAAACATTACGAACATGGCATTGATGGCCGGAAAGTTAACGTGACGTTACTACGGTGATGATGCTACTGATGATAACGATAAGTTAATGATTACATAAAACCAAGTACATTCTTCCTCGCTTACTTATAACCAGTAATTTACGCATGCGCAAGCTCTGGGGTGGTCAACCCAGTCCCATGTACTAGTATAGCCTAACTGGTTCGGTCCCAATGATAAACCTTGGGGGAATCCCACCTTTGGTGATTTTCTATTTTTTATTTCTACTCCACTATAATGTTTTAGGTATTGCTATTTTATCAAAGATGAACAACGAACAAACTCCATTTTTAGGGATTTCTCATTACAATAGATCTACATATCAAACATTGAGTGTCGTATTTTCCTGTGTCTGTTGTCTGCGAGGCAGCCCCACGAGTTAGCATCATCCCTGTATCCTTCCTCGACTTTTCAAAGTTTTTCTTTTTTTACTTGTCTTTTTTTCTTATTGTTTTATTTTCTTCTTCAAAAATGTTCATGTCGAATTCGTTATAAAGCGACGGCGTTTTTGTTTGCCGCTTTTCCGCACAATCCAAATATGACACTAACATATAGAGTAAAGCTTGATATGTTGCTCCACTAGAATAGAAAACGCCGAGAATTACGCTCTAAGACGTAATACTACGATACTCGACAAGCCACGAACCGAATCAGAAGCACCGGATATGGAGTTAGTTATCTCTTACTAAGTAGTGGTTTCAGCGCCAATACGGATACTTTCCTGTGTTTCTTATTTTCTGTACCTAGGGTGACCGCGGTGGAATGCTACAATTTTACAATATCGTTTTGGCATTTCTATATTTTGATGACAACGAAGCAAAGAATCAAAACAAAGGTCTTCATTTCCAAAACATTATCATAATATAATTATATCAGATTTTGATTTTTTTGCAATAAAGTCTTTATTAGCAAGCCGTCCTATTATGGAATAGTATACGTGTTTCTATTGTTTTTTATATTTTTGTGCGTACAAGAGTAGTATAGTAGGGTTGCTTAGACTGTTGGATAAAAGCCGAGACAAACTTCCTTTTTAGCCCTAAATCCACTTTAATGGTTTAATTCTTAATTACCATTAATGGCAGGAAATAATTATTAGGTGTTAAGGCGTGTGGAGATGGTGCCATGATGATATTAAATTCGATAGATGCGATCGGCAAGCTGAACGCATTGACGATATATTAATCTGCAATTGACTGCTAAGTACATCCCCATAAGTTCCAATTCGGATTTGTAGGATTCTTCGTCGCGCTTGTGGGCGTGGGATGGCAAGAAGGAGATTAGATTGTAGAGGTTGAAATGGTCAATTCAATTCACCTCAGAAATTAACGGTCAATTGCGTATAGTTTTCAGAGATGCTATTTTTCACATTTTTGACAAAATCTCGGCCAAAATGACGATCACAAGCACTGAAAGATCCTAACCTAGATCTGCGACTGAAATCACGCCCCCATCGCCGATAAAAACTGAACATCAAGAGTTGAAAACTCGAGTCCCTGCGGCAACCAGTTTGCCACTCAGCCATACGGAAAAAAACACCTCGCAGGGTAAAAAAATAGAACACACTTTTACAGAATTCTTTGACCTTTGTAGGTCGATAATACACGTTTTAGGAAGAAATAGTGTCCAAAATGTCACGAGTTATAACTTAATTTCCCTCGATGGCTCCATCGATCTATCAACGTGCAACGTATCAGCTAATTTGTTCTTCATTCTGCCGTTTTAATCTAAAAATAATCTGGAACATTTATATTTATCGTATTCAGACGACTTTCGTAATTTCAGGTTTGCACAGTGTAGCGCATGATAATCATTACCGGATGCAGCTGAGTACATGATTTAAACGTTATTAGATTTACAGCTGAATTCGCTCGGCACGCGCGAGGTTTAAAACCTATATTATTACATGGCAAGGTAATTTCACGCGCTATGATTGGTCAATTTGCGGTCCATAACTTACGGTACGGACCTCGCACTCGGTTAATAAGAGCTATGTATATACCTAGACAAAAGTGCGTAGTCACCATCGAAGTACCAGTATTCTAATTACCCATATCATGAACTGTTATCTCTAGAAAGATTGTAGCTCGCCTACTAATCTCGCTAATTACCCAGTGAAAAGATATCACATTAACTGTTGCTAAAAAATGACGATGTAACGATGAACTTCACTTGTAAAACACACTAGYTTTTAGCTAGTTGTATCTTTGTAAAACACCGTGCGATCACAAGATAAGGATTCCTAGACAGTTAATTTTTTGCGTCTAAAAACATTTCAAGAACCAATTTTAAAATCCCACAATTGAAAGTGGGAAAACAAATTGAACGAGTTTCTTTTTGTGTGTCTCGACTGAAATGACGTACGGTATGCCGTAGCGTAGGAAGGCTGACGCCGGCATGTCCACAACAAGGGCGGCAGTAACGGTTTTTCCTTGAATTATTTTAGAAATTATGTTTGTTAACTGTAATTAATGGGTGCAAAAATATTTTCCCTGATTTGAAATTCTAGCATGTTCTATACTCGTAAATCGTGAACGTTCAATATGCACTGATTTATCGTGAACGGTAATCGTCGTTCTTTGATTGTCGTGAAGTGTGTGAACCGGACACCCCCTTACCCCCCCCCCCCTACCCTAGTCAAACTATAGTCACTTTCATTGTTTGGTCTATTACTAAAAGTGGTCGCACGAATTACTGCACGCGCCTTTGATCTCATCCGAATTCCAATTTGAACAATCCTCACTCTGTGCCTCACTTTTATTGCCTTTTTAGAATCTTATAGAACAGGCTTATCACTTTTCAGTTGATAAATCCAAAGGTGATGATATCGATATTAACACTAGGCGATTCTTGTTCGATAACATATATAAATGAGCGCAGCTCAATGCGTYAAAACCCGTGAGAATAGATGACCACATACGGTACGATTTTCAAGCAGTGGTATTCCGTTAGCGTTTGAAAACAAGAGCCATGTTTTTATAGCTAAGTAGTTCGTCAAAGAAAATAAAAATAACCGTTGTATTCTTAAGAACTGATGTGTTTTTAGATGCAATAAAAATGTAGTAAAAGATCAGAAGCTACGAGTTCGACTGATTTCTATCTACAAAGATACACCGTCTCTTAACATGCCACCGGAGTAAAAGCTAGAGTGAAACTTTGCTGAACATGTGAGCGAGGACACTYGAAGATCATCAGAAATACACAAAAATTGTAAACTACGTAATCGCGGTTAGGTTTAACGTAGGTTGAAAAAAAACGCAGGAACGCGCTAGCTCAGGTCACGAGAAACTTCTTATGCGAAGTGCCAAATTGCCTCAGTCCTTTCATACTTGATTTCTCGAAGGAACTGAAGAGACATGCGTATGGATGCGCCACAAAAATACGAGTCTTACCGCCCCAGAGCCATCGCTTGTGTCGACTCAGAACCCTCGTATCGCTCTTCTCTGAAGATCTAGCGTAACCAATGACAGATCCGGAGAAGAGAACCATACAAAGAAAGAAGTACTCCATTGGAATAAGAAGCCCACAACTTCCTCGTTTTACGCACACGCTATTCTTGAACTCGCTCGATTGCTTATTTTATCTTGTCGCATGGACTTAAAAAGCTTTGTTTTTATCTCTAAAAGGCATCAAAGTCAAGTTAAAAGATACTGAGACTAGCAAATTGACAAGGTCAAATAACAGATACGCTGTTTGAAGACATGTTGGCGGGCAAGTAATGGGTACTGAGAGAAAATACAGAATTATCCTCAAGGTAAATGATCCGATAACATTTGGACCTTTTACGAAACGCGATACTGTTAATTGATCTACGTTACGTTGTCCTTATAGAAGGGGCAAAAGCTACCCCGAGAGCTTAGACAAGATTACAGACCACAAAACTGACGGACATCCGAAAGGCTAAGCGCTTTCTAGTTGTCACCCACGTGGCTTTCTGACCATTAATGATTTCATTACAAATAAATAAATTATTATAATGGCCTCATCCTAACTATAAGTGTGATTCCAAGAACTACTTTAAAATTCAAAAGTATAGTGTTTTTTGTTATCAAATCGTAATGAAAATTGATTATTAGTCATAAGCAATAAGCAACTTGCCAGTACCCTCAACTTTGACTTGTGCTTTCTTCAGCAAAGCATCATGGGTGTCTTAAGACCAATAAGCAATAGGCATTTCATTCAGGCACATTCGCTGTATGTAAAGCTAGGATGAGGAATTTTGAATATAAGAATGACATTCGTACGTTCAAACGGAATATAAATGTGATTTTTTTGTGATTCAGAGCGGAAGCTAACAGAAATTTGAAAACAAAACAGTCTGTCTAAATTGAATTTGATTGTGGCGTTCCACAAGCTCTGTCATTGGACCTCTTTCGTTTGCGACGACTTTTTTTTAACTTTAAAGGAGTTGAAGCTTCAAACTAAGCTTGTATTACGAATATACAAGGCGATACGAATTATAGTGAAGGCGATCAAAAAATCCCCCTAGTTATCCTTCATTGTCTGGTTTAAGACCGTATTCGTGGCGTTCCTCAGTCTCGGTTATGGGACCTTTTTCACCCTAACGCACGACTTCTATCATGGTTGTCCAAATTTAGAAACAGTTGTGGCATATTTATGAGAAAAAGATGATAACTTCCATACTCGAGACATAATAAGAAAGAAACTTTGACTGTTTGTAGGTCCTTATTACTTATTTGAAAATAACTCCGGTCCGCGTGTTTTAATTAGTTCTAGTTAACCAATCTATTCCACGGCTACTAAATGTAAGCAGAGAAAGTTAAGAAGAGCTACTTTAATTTGATATAAACAAGAAATGGCCCAATTCCAGATATATGAGGAATAAATGGTTTAAACAATTTGCGCTTGGAATAGGAGTTGCGATTGACATTTTTGCACGGGTTACCGAAATACGTCCAACCAGATTTTGTTCCTGCATTGGATTTCGACCAATTCGAAAAGATAAGAGTTATTCAATACTCATATCAATGATTATTTACTTTTAAAAGTGATTTTGACAAGTGGCTTGTCAACAACTCCCACATGACCTTGGCTTGGCCCTGCTCAGCTAGGGTGGCATTATATTTTTTCCTTCGTACTTTATTGAATTACTGTTCGACAGTACAACGATCTCAGTGCATGTGTCTACGAAGGCCCACCTCAGCGAATGAACTTAATTTGAGAATGTTCGAGTGGTTACGTTATATATCAAAACTATGAACTAAAATTGCTGTCATGACTTTCGAATTTTTGCGGATACAAACGGAAAACGGTGACAATACTTCATTCCAGTTTTTTAATAGACGTTAATATTTGGGGGAAAAAGTTGTTTTGAAACATATTAACACTCAGTTCTCTGTCAAGATAAACTTCTATACAGCTCTTTAATATTAAGAGCTGTTATAGGAAACCTCATGTGCAAATTAATGGAGGTCCAACTAAAATGAACTTGCTTGGATGCTGTGAAGCAAATGTTCTCTACAATGGACGACGATACGTGTGACCTTATATTGGGCGCAAATTTCAGTATCAATTTGTTTTGAATTGTCATTCGCCGATTCCCTCTTCATTATGTCATCGTATGTTATCAGATGAAAATGACAATGCGATAAATGGTGCCTACATGTCTGAGTTATGTATAACTACCTTTATTGATACCCTTTTCGCGAATGGACCAATTGCAAAATGGCCATTGCTTTGAATTTTCTTGCGAACCTATGCATAGCAAATACAACGTGGTTTTGCCTCAAGGTTCATGTTGTCTTGCCCTCTTGACGTTTTTGTCTCGATGACAAATGTTTTACAGGGACATTAATCTTGGGACAATTTTAGTATCCGTAAATGTATGWATGTTTTGGGGTCTTCTCAATAATACATTCATTTATCTATTTATGATAGAATATTTGCTATACATATGACCAGTTGACTGCCATGCATTTAAGTATAAAAAAAAGTAGTCATGTTTTGTTGACCTTTCCTTTAGTGAACCTCGAAGCTATGCAGCACCCACTGCCTACAGGATTTTGAGCCTATAGAATTTTACCTATGACGAACCAGTATCTAAAGTTGTGATAGTAACATCACAAATGCTAAAAATAAAATTCCAATAAGATTAGCCGACTTAAGGGTTGTTTCAGGGTAGGATAAAATTTGAAGGTTTCAAAAGGTGGATGAAGATTCCCCACAGTCGTTGCAAGGAATGCCGGCAATGCAACCACAAGACTCGTTTCCGAGCTTTTGTCTACGGCGACATGAAAAGGTTCCTTCAAAATGTACAAGGAGAAAGTAAATGTCGGGTAATACAATACCACTTGTGGAACTCAGGCTAGAGAAACTGGAGTCGACACTGGGAGATTTGTACTTCTTCTGGAAAAAGCTTAAACCTATTGCTATTCTAAAACATCCGGTGTGTACAGGCAAGACATCCTCAAAAGGTGATAAAAGTAATAAGAATTCAGGGCAGCGTTTCAGAGACCACCTGCATCAGCAGTTCGACCCCATTTCACGAAAGAAATTTCACAATTAAAATAAGAAATTCTGGAGTATGCTGCACCCGTAGCCTGTTTGCAGGAATTAGGAGACCTCCTTCAAAGAGGGATCGGAGCAGATAAAAAGAGTTTAAGGACTTTGTTAATACAGCTAAAAAATAATAGGAAAAGTGATCATGAAGACACCACTAGAAAGGATGAATGAAAAACTATGCTGCACCCATATCCTGCATGTAGCACTAGGGGACCTCCTTTAATGATAATAAAAGAATTCTTTATCAAAGACTAGAAAATCGGAATCATTGGCAGAAGTCCATGTGTGTTACCACACACGAAAGATCCCATGTCAAGCGTAAAAAGATTGAATCCTTTGGAGGGTAAAAGTACAGAATCCTAGATGCCAATGAATCAGACCTCCTGCATTTAGGCGCCTTCTTCTTCCAGACGAACCAGAAACTTCAATGGATCTATCAATCAAGTACGACGAAAAGCACACATTGAAAGTCTTGGGAATGCTTCWGCCTGTCGGCCCAATCCAAGCCAAGGGGCTTGTAAACCAACCCTAAGTAATGCCTTTTGAATGATGTTATTACAAAGGATGTATTTTATTACAAATGGCTCTAAATTGCAATGCTCCACTACATCAATATCGCGGGACTGTTATTGCCAAAGATACGCTGCCCGTGTACCTACCCGTCATTATGTCAGGGGTGCATACCATTTAAACAATCCATGTGGTTGGCAATTCATTTGCTAATCGCAATAAAAGAGGGGGAACCTTTGACTTAGGCAAATGGTACAAGAGTCTATCGAAAGAACCCCAAAAAGTACATTACCTCAATCGGAAGACCGAGCTTTCCGGAATTTCCCAATCGGAATATAATGACACATACCATTTGTTTTCCAACCGCAATTTCCGGTTTTTCTGGGTAAATGGTAAGCAGACTATCAAGCACTCTATATGACCACTCCTCAAAGGAGTTTCCATATATTCTTGCTGGCATTTTAAGAGATAATTCTTTTCGTATTCAAGCGGTGAGCGCCAAAAACTATTTTCTTGAAGAAAGGCTGTTGTACAAGGCTAAAATCTTGTTATTCAGAAAGTTTAACTTGTTTGGAAGGGGAGATGACAGATGAAAGTGGAATCAAAGTGTTAACCCAAAGCAAAAATTTTATTCCAAAATGAGGTTTAGGCCTTCATTTGCTTATTTCCCATACATTTTCTATAAAAAAAGCCTGACAAAGCTACATTCTAACACAAATGCCACAAAACATCTTTGTACAATTGAAAATACCGCTTCAAAGAGGCATGTTATCATAGTACATCAGTTTCTAAGTGTTAAAAAAAGGTTTTGAGTGTTAACCCAAAACGAAAATTGCGATCAAAACGCATACGAAGGTCTAGTTTTTGGCGCTTGTTGCCATTATTGCTCGTTATTGAAAAAAATTTCCTCTTAAACGATCTGAACAGAAATACTATAAACTAATCAGAAAGGATTTGGTTATGTACGACGCATCTTATTTTCAAGAATTTTCAGTGCACACACTTACTCATCGCTGTATTATTATATAATACATTATATTCCTGTAGGAAGTTGAACTCTTAGCTTTGAAGCCTCAAAATAGAATTACCATTTTTTTTCATCAATGACAATCGTAAGATGTCGAGGAAGATATATTAGATAGGTTTAATTATTATGAATAGTTTGCTTGGCGTATTTTTTTCACTACATACTAAACCTCTTGGGGTTAATGACATAAGCATCATCTCCCTAACGTTCGAGTGTCTTCTCAAGCTGTTCCCAATAAAAAATAAAACTAAATCTCTTCGTTTAAGTGTCTAGTCGTTTTAGTGCTTTCGCACTAATTGGGGACACTTTTCGCTCATACACACTACCACTACATTAAATGTTCTATGCACACAACGCTCAACTCACATGTTGATTTTTACGGAGGGACGAAACCGGAGAACCCAGAGAAAACCTCGTAGCATAAGAGAGAACAGCACATCAAACAAACTCAATTCACATATGGTGTCCGCAGGGCTAGAACCATTGACCCAAACCTTTGGAACTAGAGTGGTGAGAGACGACGGGTTAGTTGCGTACGCCACTAATGCTGCCCAACAAAGACGCGTTAGCAGCGTACGCCGCCCATGCTACCCGATAAAGAAATAAGCAATACTCAAGGAAGTGGCTCTTGAAAGGAATAATACTCAGGGGAATTATACAAAGACGCGTTAGCAGCCACCCATGCTACCCGGTAAAGAAAAAAGCAATACCCAAGGAAGTGGCTCTTGAAAGGAATAATACTCAGGGGAATTATATGTCGTCCAAACTAGGAAAACAATACGCCCAAGCTAAAATAGTTCAAAGCTCAGACTTTAAATGCTCCGTTATCTTTTTCTAGGTTGGAACTTTTCCTATTTATCGTGGGTTTATGACCGGTAATTGTATCGAATACGTCAGTGTGATGTAGGAGGTTCAGGCGCTTTCGCCGATGAGTTGAAGGAGGATTCTCTTGTAATTCCCTTTAGTGTCATCCTGAAGAGAATTAAACAAGCTTTAAAACTGGAGAATATATATAATCAGCATACTCATGGTTCTTTCCTCCAGAGCAGTTCCAGGAGTTTTGCTCTGGGAAATTTTTTAGATGTACTAAAGGACGTTCATGGGCATTGTTCGCGCGCATCCTTTCTACGCATTGATTTAGTGACCGCGGGCTCATCGAGATGACGTCATTCCAATGTTTTGGTAAGCAAAATATCACAATAACTTCCTTAATATCTTATGGCTCCAAAACAAAGTCGGGGAACCCCCTTTTATTATTTTGTGTTTTGAGTACTTTATAATACCCAACATTGGAGGAAAAATAAAAAAATTGAAGATGGGATGTTTTGTCCATAAACGTCCTTAAGCAGGTTCGCTTTTTGCACGTCTGAAAAACTAATCGAAGAGCATGTGATTGTAAAGGGATGTAAATATGGATGTTGTATGACCATGGAAAACTGTGAGCATTGGGAATGGATGAGCAATTATCTTAGGCGTGGCGACTGGTTTTACCAAGGAAGTCAATTTCTTACCGTAACCATACCACGAACCCTGACCGGCTCAAATCGTACATTACAAAAAGGTTTCAAATGAGAAAAGAAAGAGAAAAGGTACGATGTATATTATTGTTTAATGAGATACTTACAGCGATAAATTGTGCAAGAGACTGTCCGTATTGCTTGGCGAATTCATCTTTAATATCCAGTATATCTATCTCAGATCGGGTAACTACTACACGAATAAGAGCCTTGTCGTCTGTTCCAAGCCCCTGCAAGAATAGTGGACGCAATATATCAAGCACGGAAAAGAGGGTTTTATCCGAATTCCAAACACCAAGAAGTAAGTTGAAAAAACGAGGCGGTTTCAATTTCAAGTGCTTGTTATGGCTTCTCAATCTATCAATAATTCTTGGAGAAATTCGAAGCGTGTAAGTTGTCCAAATGTTATGCTAATTTAGAGCACATTTTCAACCTCCTTCACGCTACTGATACGAGTTTGAGAAGATTTTTTTTTGTCAAATTGTCCATTGTAATCAGTGCGTGTGTAAACAAATTGCAGGATCAACTAATGGATCACGCGAACATCGCTCAACATGTTGGACAACTACTGTAAGGACACACTAAGTAAGACTTTAGCCACTAAGGAGAGAGTAAACTCAGTATCATAAATACTTCAGTCAATCACAATTTCTCATTCCCACAGTTGTTGATAACATTTAGGTTTATCTCAGAAATCTACGCTTCGTTGCTTGCTCACACTTGTTCCACTGTTTCCATTGCTACGGGCTGATCGAGTCAAACTCTCGCCACATGGCAAATACCACCGTCAAGCAACAAATCGTTAGAGTATGTCCATGGAAACCGTGAGAAGGTACACGAGGACAATTTGATTGATGGGAGTCTATATAGCTTAGTCCTCTTCGCTCCCTTGGGAACATAGGACTTTCATATATAGCCTGCTATATATTGCCCATTAACAAGTCGCGATCAGCGCATTCTCTACTTTCACATCCCCATAATACTTTGCGTCTTTGGGGGGTAACCAGAGGGTAAAAACCCACTTATTTTGCTGAAGACAATGTTGACAATACCTCGTTTGGTATCCAAAAATAAAATAAAGAAGTAAAAAAACAGAAAAAGATAGAAGCTTGAAGAGGTTTAAGGTAAATTCTAAACATTTTTTCGTAAGTCAATACATTTTCTGTAAGACCGAAACTCTTGATGATCTGTACACGCAAAAATAACTTGGAATAAACTGATAATCAGTATCGTACAGATAAAAGCAGGTATGGTATAAATTCAATTAAGAAACCTTTCAATTTGGGACAGTTTTTTGATTGGTTACCCCCCAAAGACGCAAGGCATTATGGCGATATGAAAGTAGAAAATAAAGTTATTTTACTTCGCCCGTGAAAGAATAGTTAACTTATTCGCAGTAGTAGACACAAATTCCATTGTTTTCTATTGTTTTACTTTGACCGTTAGTCAATACTACAACTTTGTTTCACGGGCAAAGTAAAATCACCCTAGCAATGAATACAGTGGGAACCCAGCAATGTTTACAGTACATCTTTTTCTTTCTTGAATAGCTATTCATTTTCCGTAAGAAAGTCCGTTACTAGTGTGATCTTAGGTTTCCAACATGGCGGACAATGGTCACGTGATCGGTAAATGCGCATGCTCTATCAAATCAACCAAACATTCATTACCTTCATGCTTTTGTAAAGCTTTTGAGCAAAGAACCCTGGGGCATTTCTCACAACTTGAACTTTAAAATAGAAAAAAAAGAGAGAGTTAGATGGAAGAAATATAAACGAAATAGCTTTATTTTACTTCTAGGCAATGGCATAACGCTGACTAACTTTGAGTCCAACGGGCAGGATCAAAGGTTCGATTCCTACGGACGCTATAAATGCGAATAAAGCTTGTTTGATGTGTTTTTCTCTTCCTTGCCTTGGCACAAGGGTTTTTTCTCCGCGTACTCCGGTATTCTTCCCCCTACGAAAACCAGTTGAGATTGGTGTGTGCCTTTAATATTAAATAAAGTGGTAGCGAGCGAGGAGTGTGTCGTATATATAATCATTAGCCTCTGGCCAGGAAGACTCGACAACGACTCACACGACGTAAAATAAAGAGTTATTTATCATTACCCTTAGTCACGTGACCATTTATTCATCGACAGAGCAATATAGTCAACATAAGCAGCTACTCGAATAACAAAATGTTTCTAATTTATAAGTACAGTACCTATGGAAACCATGCCATCCTTCAGATCTCCAGACATTTCTCTCCTGATTGATTCTTCAATATCGTATTTACAAATCTATGACGAGCAAATAAGGTGTTAGTGTGTGCAGTGCACGAGTCTGCACTCACAACTACATTATGATGGGTTCATGCTGATTGGTTAATTACTGTGCGCAATTGTGCACTTAAGACAGAGGCCTCAATAAGATGCTTGCGCATTCATTTGTTTATTATTAAGCACGAGTCTGCCATCATACCCTACCTGCCACATAAAGCACCCATGCTGATTCGCATGAATGTGCAATATTTAACAATTAGTCCTCGAGCCTGAATGGGGTATGAGGCAATAGCCCATGAAACGGAAGGCCGAATGGGATATTGACCTTGAGGGCGTGAGAACTAATATTGTTTTATAGATAAATCCAATTAGTCAGTCAAGTATATAGATGCAAACGATTGAATTTTAAATTAAAGTTAATTTTTTATGTTTTGGTTTTCAAAGCTGGCACTTTTCGCTAATAGTAGGATATAATAACCTATAGCCTAGTAACTAGTAACTCATCCAACCAGAATGCAGCATTGATGATAGAGCACTAGTTGGATTTGACTAAAATTGATTAGTTTATTACGGTTCCTGATTACCTCTACCTTCATAAATTACACCTAATTGGTTCTAGTCTCTACTAAAAGTAATGACGACGTTTTCCTTATTATTATAAAGCATTACCTTGGAATATTCATCAAATACGGCTCTTAATTGTGGAAAGCTTTTGCTTGCGAGAACACTGTTGAACCTGTGTCATGGAAATGGAAAGCAAACAGAAATTACAGAAAATAAAAACATTAAAAAATATAGTTTTAAATAAATAAATTTAAAAATATGTTAGCATTGCAAATTAGACGACCCTCTATAAAGAAAAATAATCTTTTTTTTTCTCTCTTTTCGTTCGTTTTTTGTTGTTGTTGTTGTTGTTTTTTGAAATCGCTATGTATTGTTTTCAAGTAAGAATTATATATGTTGAAATAAAAAATTAATATGACCCGTAAAAAAAATAAAATAAAAAAAATTTAAAAAATCATATCCCAAACGTGAAAACAAATTGAAAGACAATGAAAACGCTTGTATCAGGTATTTCAAAATTATCAACAAAAAAAAAAAATTAATTGCCATAGCCAATTGCCATAGCTTGAAAGAACGGGTTAAAATCAGTAAAAGTGGGAAGTTTGAAGGAAATAAGTTCAAAACTCACAAAGATATGATTTTTAAAGAGTGAATGTATTTTTATGCATATTTCCCTACAAATTTCCTTTTTTGGATATTCATATCTTCCTTACTTCAAACTTCACAATCACTCTTTTCAACATACTCTTTGCAGCAGCCTATCTAGTTCAATCCTGTGAGCCTTCCAATTACATGATCAGTAAAAGCTCATTGAAAAGAAAGAAACAACTTGGAGGAAAGTAAGATAAGAGAAAGAGTAAAATAAATATAAGCATTAAATGAAACCTTACTTGGCCTCGTCTGTTCCCCATCGACCTTCACCAGCTTTGTACAGGGCCTGGAATGTACACAAGTATACTTTTAATAATTTTTTTTAAATTTAATTTTTTCCTAATTATTATTTTTTCCTTTCATCAAGATACTTTTTTTATAATTTTCGCTTTCATGCTTTTTCAGGAAAAGGAGGGGGTACAGTTTTTTAGGAGGGTTGCACCAATGGTGACAACTGTATTGAGGGTCCTGAATGGGGTGGGGGGGGGGGGTATAAATTCCATTCCCAGTGCATAAAACCCCATTTTCCCAGCCAAAAAAGGCCAATCCCAGTTCTCATTTTCGCCCCTTCAGGACCCTTTGTAATGGTGCAACTGTAATGATTGCCTGAGTTGTATTTGTTTTCATTTTTTCCTCTAATGCACCACTAAACATGGCAATGATGGTCATTGCACCAAGTCTACTCTATACCTTGTTACACACACACATTCGGTGAGCACCTGTCAGACAGGCAACTTAACGTTCTTATTCCAGATTCTTTTAACTGAATCCCTTATATTCATCATTTGCCATCCTTTAACAATAACAAACACAATGATGCTAAGACAACACTTACTTCAGCGCTTGCTCTTGCCTTATGTATGTCTACTTGGTCAGTCTCTTCTCTATATGCCTGCAGAAAAGCCAAATAAGAAAGCTATAAAGAAAGTTTACAGGCAAATGCATTTCCCACGTTTTTCAAAGTTCAGTGGACAAATATACGTAGACAATGGGTGTCAACTAACTTACTCAGAAGATGATACTGCATGCATATCAAAGGGGAGACTTTTTCTCATTGCAATTCACTTGAGTCAAATCCATAATAATCAAGCATCAAAGTCATTTCTTTTGTACTGTAGTCATGTTGGATTGGTGAGATATTTTTGACAAAAAGATGACCATAGCCAAAACACAGATTGTGTAGTTCCAGAAATTATCCATACCCACCCCACAGAGGAATTTGGAATTTCCGAAGAGTGGGTTGGTCAGAGAAAAAAACAAGAATTACAGAGATTGTATGGAAGAAAATTGGAATTTATGGGCGTAGGGGTGGGGGGAGGGGTGTCTTAAAAAAATTCCTCCATGAGGGGTATGGATAATTTTTGGAACTAAACATTCTACAAATTCCAGCCATAAGTCCCCCTGATTATAAACCCATTATCAAGTGATTCCATTCTTCTTTTTTTCAAGAACAAGATTACTAGTAGGCCTCTGAAGAAGCATAGGCACAGGACTTTTAACTGGGATATTATAGTATAAGATGCATCATTTGTAACTTTGTGGCAATATTTTTCTGCTCAGACTCTGTTTATGATGAGTTGGTCTAAGAGTAATAAATTACACAGTAACAGCAGCAGCATGCAAAACTTGTTTGTGATGAACTGATTGACTGAATAAAAAAATGACTGAGATAAGCAATTTTTACCTGTGCTAGTGAAATTAGGAATTTTTTGAAGTGGCCAGATGTGTCACCAGCTATGTCTTTTTCCATGTCCCTTTCAAACACTGCAAATAAGAGAAAACCCAAAATATAAGATCACTTAATTCAAATTATTTGTTTTTTTTATTTATTTATTTGTTTTGTTTTTGTTTTCTTTTCCTTGAGATCAAATACACCACAACAGCACTGCCAGTGATTACTGTGGGCTCTGTAGTGTTATCACTGCAAATTGGTTGTCATCAGCATCTTCAATGGGTCTTTTACATCCACCTAAGTCTGTCACCTGTCACCTTCTTTCCATTTGCAGATGTATTTCCAAAGGCAGCAAATTTTAAGTTATTTTAGGACCCCAAGTGTCAGCCCGGCTGAGGTTTGAMCCTCACACACAACAGACGGGCACTGTTACCAACTGAGCTAACTGGACTGCAGTTATTGACAAGACATGCAGCAATAGCAGATATTGGCATATTGACAGGTTACAGTAGCACAATCTCCTGTTTCATAAACAATGGAGTGCCTACAGTGCCATCACAACCACAAGATTTTCTGAAATTCACAATTACTATAAGAGCTTTCAATTCTCCGTGTGTACTCACATCTTTGGTATGCATTTTTGATTGCTACTAATTCATTATTTGTTCTTGTGGATAGAATCTCTATCAGGATCTCTTCATTAGTACCAAGACCCTGGAATGAAAAAAGAAGAGCTCAGAATCATATTTTTCTAGCAGTAATAATCATGGTGCTAGAGTTATTTTCCTCAGACCTTGAAGCAGTTTCTAGTACTGTAGTCAATGATAGGTATAATAGTCAAATAGTCAAATTAACAAATTGACATCAGTTTTTTATGTGTCTGTCCTCTTATTGACAATAAATTGCAGCATCACGTTGTCAAAGTAGTGTGGATCCACGAGGCTTAGCCGAGTGGATCTGCATACTAGCTACTTTGACAATGTGATGACGAAATTTATTGTCAATAAGAGGACAGACACATAAAAAAACTGATGTCTATTTGTTTTTTACAATAACAAAAACGATAAAAATTTCTCATTTTTAGCGATCAAAACAACCAATGGAAAGAGCACGTGCTCGTTGACGTCAGCTTTATCTGTCTGTCCTCTTATTGATGATAAAAAATAACCAATCAGCGCGTGAGAAATTTGTAAGTTATTGTAAAATTGTTTTTTTACAATAACAAAAACAATAAAAACTTCTCATTTTTAGCTGTCAAAACAACCAACGGAAAGAGCGTGCGCTCGTTGAGGTCAGCTTTATCTGTCTGTCCTCTTATTGATGATAAAAAATAACCAATCAGCACGTGAGAAATTGGCAAGTTATCGTAAAATATTTATTTTTGTAATGTGCATGCCTTTGTTTGACGGGGTGGGGGAATCAGGCACATGCATCACACATAAAGCACTTAAAGACATAGATCTTATCTATCCATACCTTAAGGGCTTTTCTTATCAAAGTGGCATCATATTCTTCAGGGGGAGTCATTAGTGCTATCACAGTATCCTCAAAATGACCTCCTAGCTCACTCTTCAGATCCTTCATCAGATCCTGTGTTTAAAAAAATATTAAAAAATTTAAAAGTCTAGAATTTGACAGCTTTGAGAACTGTGTTTAAATGAATGAAGACTAACAACCAACTCACCCCTGACTCAATATTTTCAGTATCGATTCTACATGAAGTGAATAGTTGAATGGTAAAATACACTGTAGTTTTATATGATTTGAGAGATGCATCTTGGAGATATCAGACTTAGACTTTTATTTATTCACACACTTATTTACAATATTGAAATATATAGGAAAGAAATACAAATGTACAATTGAATTAAAATAAACAAATTAAACAATAACAGTTATGTTTGGCTGTGCGTGAATCAAGGTTTATTCTTCCAATATGTCAATGAGTGTGATGTCATAGGAGGCATTATTAAATATATTTTAATTTTTTCTGGGACAGTAAAATAGAATCGTCCTAGCTGTTATTGCAAATATTAGTAATCAGTGTTTCAATTTACAAATGATGGCAAATAAACTCAAAAGCTACCTATAGCATCTCGCTCATTAACATATTGGAAGTATGGACCTTGATTGGGGTAAGGGACATTTTAATAAACCCTGAAATGCTAATGCACAGATGGAATTGAATTTAGCTTGTCACGTTTTGTGAGTGGAGGTAAAAGAATAGACTATAGGAAAACATATATAATTAATTTCTTTAAAAAATAATTTCTTTAAAAAATTAAATACAGCGAAGTGTATGCATAGTAAATTTTGTTTTCTGGATGTGGCAGCTTTTCATAGTTTTTATTACCATTTATCTTTCATAATGTTCGTAAATAAATAAAAAATATGACTTATGTCTTGTCTTTTTGTCTTGTCTTTTGTCTTATTGTCCCAATACCTTTTGACAACCTTTTACAACAGAAATACATTCATATTGTATAATGATCATTCATTGTATCTTACCCTTCCATAGATGGTTTTGTACTCTATACTTATTCTCTGTCTTTGAGCATTGGTTCTTGAACAAAGAAGATAGGTGATGGCTTTGTTATCACAACCTACGATCCAAGCACAATGATATCATACAGCTTGCTTTATTTCAATGTTATTATAATTCTAAGGATTTATTTTCTGACTCTGGTAATTTTGCTGAAAAAAAATCTCATTTTCATACAAATATTTGCTACTTTTCTTCTCCTCTTTCGCTCCCATTATTTTTTCAGTTTCCATGTCCTTCTACACTAAGAGATGGTGAAAAAAAAAATTCATATTCTCATGCAATGTGGGACATTTTATTCCGAGATCGTATATATTCTTTAATTTTCTCGTTTTAAAACCCAACAAAATCTTTAGGATTCTAAGCATAACGAAATAATTTTGATATTATATATATATGTACTTTTTTGTGTGTGGTAACATTAAAAAATTATTGTTTTTTCTTTAATATTTCTTTCCCACCAAAAGTTAATAACCATATGATTAAATGAGTCAATGAAAGAGAGAAAGAATGAATAATAAATGAATGGATGGCCTAAGTAATGACTGATTGAATATTACATGAATAAAGAAATATAACGATATGAGAATATAACAATATGAGAAATATAAGAATTTTTTGGGAGAAAAATTCGCTTGATGAAACGTAAATAAAATTAACCGTACACGAAGTACATTTTTCTAGTAATTTTCTCACGTTCCATATCAACATTAAAAATCAAAAGAGAAGCTAAAAAAAGGTCCATAGCTTTACCTAAACCTTTCATAGCCTTACGAAGGACCTCAGCATCCTTCTTCCCATCAAAGGGGCTGTAAGCTGTCACAGATGGTCTTCCCCTTGAAGAAGGTTTACTGCTACAAAGAACGGAACTTGCCATGGTTTGTAAAGGTGGTGCTGACGCTACCGTTGACTGCGTCGAGTACGATGTTTCTTCGTGATAATAAGTAGTCTGTTGTCAAGAATAAAGCTATTAGTATCCAAATATTTTAATCGAAAACTCAAGGGAAATCACCGAGGTTTTGAGGTGCATAACTTAGAATAACAAAATGTACAAATACAATCGCATAGATGTGAATGTAACACAAACACGATCGTCAAAAGAGATAACAACTCGAAGTTCAAGACAATACAATACAATAACTTATTTCATCCTTGAATCAAAGATAGCAAGTACATGCTAATATCTCCAAGTAATGAAATGAGGTCTTAGGACCCATCCTGATCCGTAAAGGTTAAAAAAAACACATAGGGAATACCGTACATTTTCATGCAATATTTGGTACATTTAATGTGACCCCGGAAATGCTTCTCAACGACAACTATCTCCGAGGTATTGCTATTGAACAACTGCAGAAAAAATCCTCACATAATCGAAGAATACTTACGAAATAAATTGAGTCTTTTTACAAAGAACTGTAGATTTAACCTCAGATAATTTGCTTATGGAATATTTTACCTTCGATATTTGCGTACGATTTATATTAGGCTAAGGCCGAAGTAGCATGTGATCGCACACAGGAAGACCATGATTTATTTATTTATTTTCTTTTTCTTTTTCTTTTTCTTTTTGGAACGGGAGGGGTTCATTCAATTTATGAAAGCAGTTGGGTGATAAAACGAATAGAAATGAGAAATATGCTTTAGATATGAGAAGACAGTAAAAAAAATACTGTAAGTAATACTGTAATACTGTAAGTATTTTTTTCAGTTACGAGGTTAGGACAAGGTACTGTATTACAAGACACAAAGCAAATAGGACAAGCAAGGAAATTAAAGAAAATATAAAAATATAAGGTATAAATGAATAGTGCAAAACAACTCAAACAAATAAATGTGAACAAATAAAAAAATAAAAAAATGGATGGATGGATATTTTAATTTCATATGAATAATAAAATAATTCTACTGTCTGACACTGGTTGATTGACTGATTAACTGACCGACTGACTGACTGATTGACTGACTGACCGACCGACCGACCAACTGACTGACTGACTGACCGACCGACTGACTGACTGACCGACTGAATCAATGTTCATTGACTGACTCAATGACATATTCACAGTCTGACTGACTGACTGATTGACAGACTTACATTTAACTGATTGACTGACTGACTGACTGACTGACTGACTGACTGACTGACTGACTGACTGACTGACTGACTGACTGACTGACTGACTGACTGACTGACTGACTGACTGANCTGACTGACTGACTGACTGACTGACTGACTGACTGACTGACTGACTGACTGACTGCATGCCTGGCTGTCTGGCAAATGAATGTGATAAATGAATCAAATAAATAAAAATGAAAATAAATATTTACATTTGGCACAGGCATAGGAGGACCTGCTTGTCGTGCTCTGTAATGCCCAGGAAATGCTGTTGTTGCCATGGCAGCTGCCTGTGTCAGCATCAGTATAATTGTATTTTGGGAATTAAAAACGATATATTTGGTACATGAATTAAAAGCAGTGTTAGGTAGTCAGTTTACCAACTAGTTCTTTGTCATTAGCCTAAATCATTTTGCTAAAGAAACACTTTAATTGGCCCTTTCGCATCATTCACTTGATGATATGTCACTTTGATTAACAAATCAGTCCAGCTAAAGGTCTCTTGGGGAAGGCTATGCTGGATGGCAAATAAACTTTAAAATGCTTCGTATCTTGAAATAGGCCCTTTGCAGCTAAGCAATCAAGTGCTGATTAATTCACTGAGAGCAAATGCATGAACATTTTGATTCCCATGGGTGAAATTTACTGGACTGCAAACAAACTTTCTACAACCTGTTTCAAGAGATCGTAATAAAACTGCATTTCGTAACACACTGGATACACGTGTTTTCATTCAGTTCTGTACTAGTAGCTAAAAAGAATCACCAATTTAATATAAAAACAAAAATTTTGCAGTCCAGTACAGACACGTGACCGTATAACTGCAAAGTGCCTATTGAAAGCAATTGTTACAATTAGGGAAAAATAACATTTTGAAAAAGGTTTTGGGCATAAAATTAGTAACCCAGCAAAACTTGTTTAAAATAAGGGAAGTCCGAATTTGTTTGCCGGTCAATAACAGCCACATTATTTGAATCTGCCCTTGCATTGACACTTATTAATTACTGCATGGTTTTCAATATTCTGCAAACTCAGACATTTCAACGGTTTGTTGTGAAATTGTTTTTTTACTGCTGCCTGCAGTCAAGAACACTACGGACTGATTAAAAATGTTGATTGATGGCAGTAAAAAAAAAAAAATTCAGCATGCAGTTTGCAATTACCAAGAATATCAAATTAAAAATTGCAGTAATATTGATGTGAATCTAAAAAGGAATTGAAACTTATAATTGAGAGAATGACAAGTGGTTTGACTTGGGAACATTAAACTGTATCTGACCACCCATTCTATTACATTAATGTACTCACCCCAAATGTCAGATTCTGATTGGGGTAGTGCCCCATGGGAGCCGGTGACGCAGGAGGAGCAGGTCCATAACCAGGAGTAGGATATGACATAGCACCAGGAAGAGGCATGCCAGGTCCTTTTAGAAAACAGTACAAGTCAGAAAAATCTTAATTTTACATAGCCTAATATAAATATTTAATTGTGGATTATTTTTACTTGTAATGAGAATTGACCTACAGCTTGGCTAGTGTCAAAATATGAGGAAACCCATCCTTTTACCGGCGTTTGCATTACTACGCAGCCATCGCAGACAAAAATCGCGACGTGCACTTTGCAATAGACTGCTGTCAATCAAACACGTCGATGCCATTTACACGTGTGTGTGATTCAAAAGGCGCCAAAACTTTGGTTGATTGTTTACAAGTATTATGAGCCACACTCACCGAGCCTATCCGGGCCGATCCAAATGCGTGTAAATGACGTCAACCTGTTTGATTGACGGCAGTCTATTGCAAACTGCACATCACGATTTTTGTCTGGGTTGGCAGCGTAGCAATGCAACGCCGGTAAAAAGCGTTAATAAATTTATTTGTCCCTCAAATAGTTTGATTCTGAGATGTCATGGTTGTCCAGCCTTAATAGCCTTGCTTGCCATGGGTCTTGATCGTTATAATATTGATTCTCATGATCATCAATCATCAATATCTGAATATGGGTGATGTATGTATATATGGAAATATTACGAACCAGGTTGGGGATTATTTGTCCCACAAATAGTTTGATTCTGAGATGTCATGGTTGTCAAGCCTTGCTAGCCTTGCTTGCCGTGGGTCTTGATCGTTATAATATTGATTCTCATGAACATCAATCTTCAATATCTGAATATGGGTAATGTATATATATCTATGGATATATTACAAACCAGATTGGGTAGGCATTGCTTGGTAGGGCATAGATGGTTGAGCCATTGGCATCGGCATACCTCCAACCTAAATTCATAAAGAAATAATTACTTTTTTATAATCACTCATTTTCAAATTTCATAACAAAAGTTTTAGATGTTGGCTTCTGTCAATCAAATATCTAATGGTTCTAGATAGTCAGCATTTTTGATTGACAGTTATAAGCCAGATACCCAGGCTGGATTGGTTCAGTAATTACAGGTATGTACAGTAGCTACTGTATCCTTGATGTGTGTTTTAAAAGTTCTTAAATCTATAAGCCCATAAAGGGCTTCACATTCAAACAGTTCTCTGTGCTGTATTCTACTCTGCTCTGCTCTGCTCTGCTCTGCTCTGCTCTGCTCTGCTCTGCTCTGCTCTGCTCTGCNCTGCCCTGCCCTGCCCTGCCCTGCTCTGCTCTGCTAAAATCACTCTGCTCTACATTTGCTCTGTTCTACTCTTTTCTCTTCTACTCTTTTCTGTTCTACTCTTTTCTGACGTTCTGCTGTTTTGTATTCAAGCTCTTCTTTGCTCTATAAACTTACCCCTGCTGGGCCTGATGGACTACTTAGCACATGGTCAAATCCCAGTGGAGGAGGTGCACCCCCTTGCTGCATAGGAAATGGTGGTGCACCTGGCTGCGGCATGCCATAATTCCATGGTGGTCCGTAACTCATTGTGTTACTGACTAAAAACATTAAATGAATGACAAAATTGTTAAAACATATAAAATGAAGAAAATTGAAAAATAAGACAACTGAACCCATTCAAAAACTTCAACTTCATTTTTGTTAGATTGCATGTGCCAATATGCAAGACATGTCGGATTAGATAGAGTAGGGGCTAGCTAGCCCATCAGATCTTTTCACTATTCAGTATTTCTTAAATAGATGCCATGAGATGTGTTATTGTAGTGAGTATTATAACGCATATCAAATACTTGAGAAACTGATAGGAAGATATTTAGTATCAAAGTGAAATATGATATTGATCATCCTTTGAGATCTATTCTTCTTGAAGCAAAAGAAGTAGTATATCATCTAAGATATAACTCAAGCCATAAGCCTAAATAAGATATGGAGCACTTCAAAAATAGTTTTATTAATATGTTACATTAATTTTTAAAATATAATTTAGTTAATTAAAATAATACATATAATGTAATAGGATTTTCAGAATATATATTGTTATTCATTATTATCACTATTTATTCATATGTATTTGTATGTCTTGTATGTTTTTTAGAGCAGCTTTCAAATAAGTGTGAAAAGCTCGGTCCCATAAGTGTGCCGTGAAATGACTGTGATGTTTTCTAAAATTTTAGTTGGCTGATTTTTTTCTCACACAATTTGTTCGGTCTGGCAGTGCTATGATCTTGGCATGTTTATGCCGTGTTCCAGGTATCATCTGATTTGATGGAGAGTAAATTCACGAGCAATGTGATTGGCCTGGCTTATGCCAATACCATGTCATGACTGTGTTTGTACTGTGAGCTAATTTTACATTACCAATTATTACCAATTATCATTAGAGCATGTGTTTTTTTATGCTTCGTCAGTTTGATCCCTGCCAGACAATTCCAGACATACAGTAGCAAACATACATTTCCCAGCGAGGTCGGAGATTGATTTTTCCAAATTTAATTCCAAGGGCTTTCGCCCGGAATAACCTCGTTCCCAAGCGCTATAACTTATCTGTATTTCTATATCTTCATGTATTTTCATAACAAGCTGTGTAGAATTAAATTTATCATGGTGATTATTATTGTTTACCATGCTTCAACATGACAGCTGGCTGACATTATTTTGTTATGCCTAATCTGCACCAGAGCCGGGGGAGGAGGGGGGGGGGGTTTATATATGGGCTATACTGTACAGGGATTTTTTTTTTCTGTCTCTTTTCCTTATATTTCTTATACATGTTTTTTTTTTTTTTGCCTACCTCCTCCTCTTACATTTTTTAAAAGTGGGTGTTTTATTTATTTACAATAATATACATATATTAAAATTTTTACTATTCATGTTGCTTTTTTTTCATTATTATTATTATTCATTTATTTGTTTATTTATTTATTTTAAAAAAATACTGTACAGGGATGATCCACTGAACAGGGTATGGTTTTTCRAGCTTCTTGTCATAAACAGGGTATGCAATTTCACTCAAGTTCCAAGTTCTTCCTGAGTTTCCTGTCATATTCAGGGTTCTACTTCGCATTGACCGAAAATGGTTATGGTCGTCAAAAAAAAACAATACACGAGATGACTTGCAATTAATTATATCTTTTGTCATAAACAGGGTCTACAAATGTGATTTTCTTTACAGGGTACCCCTTTTAGAATCCCAGCGGAACACCCCTACCCAAATCCTAGCGGAGAACCCCCCTCCCCCCTGGCACCAGAGTTGGGATCACAACTTGATTGCTTGGGTTATATAAATATTTGTGATTCTTGCAAAGCTTAAAAGCTAGGTCTTGTCACCAAACAGTAGAATCCTGATTTAAATTAGGATAAATATTAACTGGATCAACTAAAAGGTCTGCTGATGATCAGCCTATGCTAATATAATTTAAATTATGTTCGTAGCGAAAATTAAAAGAAACATGCATTCTTTATGAACGTAAATTTTTTTTTAAATTTCATTTTTCTCAGTGAATTCAAAAGCTTAGTTACACAAAAACTTAGGTTATTTGCAGGCTCGATCGAGTTGAAGCAGACCGAAACAGACGGTAGAATGTCATGCTTTTTGTGTGCTTTTAAAATCATAATTATTAACTGAGCTTGTACTTAGTTTTACATCTTAAAATTATTTGTCACTTCACTCCTTATCTATAATATGATTTGAAGTACTTCAAGATTTATTAACAGTCCAGAGATATCAGTTACGTAGCTGTTCAAAGGCAAGAATATTAGAAGTGCATAGAAAGATCAGGAAAACAGTGTGATTGCTAAATAAATAATATAGTGCTTTGTCGACGTTTGCTGTCGAACTGCTCAGAAAATATCAATCGCCTGATCTCCATAAAAATCTAAAATTATAATGTCCTTACCTGTGATTGAAGTTGACAGTGAAGTTTTATAAAATACACGTTAAATTACCCGCAAACAGGATGAGTGTGGTTATCACAAACGAAACCCCCAGAACGAAGCAAAAGTAGGCTGACACAGGGAGCCCAGAGAATGAAATACGTTTTTGAGGGCAGCGGTTCGCCATACTAAACCTTCTTTCAGGGTATTTATGGACAGCTGATTTTAGCCAATCAGAATGGAGAAAAAGTGCTAAGCTTTTTTTCTTCTTTTTATTTCAGTGGTGGACAGGTTTATATTTTTTACTGGTCAATTTTCACAGGCCTCATGATACCTCATTTTTGCAGTGACTTCATTTCTATATCACTATTTCAGATCAGCTGGAGAGCTATCACAGTATTCTGGAATTGTATACTTGATAGTAAGGCTGCGTTCATAATGTATGGCAAAGGGTGGGGGGGGGGGGAAGGCAGGTGAAATCTTTAAATGACATTAAAAAATTTAAGGCCCCCCCTTGAAGTCCCCCAAAAAACAACTATCCCACCAGGCAATCTCTCGTAGCTTCTTCTAAGAATTTTGCATTCCCCCTCCCCTCAATTCTCTGAAAAAAAATTTTCAACCCCCCCCCCCATTTGATTGGTAAAAATTTTTCTGATCCCCCTAAACTTCACCTGCCTCCCCCCCCGCCATACATTATGAACGCAGCCTAAGTACTAGGCTTTATAATTTATTACACATCTTGAAATCCTTTGCATTCATTACAAAATACTTAGATGTGCTGTGAGGGGGAGTGACACCCTTACTCCACTACTTCCAACAAATATTCCAGGACAAAGTATTAGAATGTAACACATTTCATAAAAAAACACAAGAACTTAATTTAAAATCTTTTCATTCTTTTATTCATACAGCAACAAATTACAAATCAAGTACAATATAGGCAATATTGCTAGTCTGTCACAGCAATGCATTCTGGGACTGTTAACTCCATACTCCAGTTTCAAGTTCACTGTTGCTCTGGGTTAGCTGCATCAATTTTGTGCAGAATGATTATGCATTCCAGTGAAGGTCCATGGAATTTCAAAGTGTTTACACCAACTTGCAAGAACATTGACATACGAAAATAGAACATTAGTGATTTATTGAGATAGGAATTATATTAAAAAACAAAAGAAGATCACTGAAGCTGAACTTTTTCTTTTGTCTTTTAATGTATTCCTTTCTCACTAAATTACTAATTTTCTATTTTCGTATCCATGTTCTTGCAAGTAGGTGTATATTGTTGAAATTGTGAATTCTTTATTTTACCTCTGGTTCAATTGTATTTATGAATATTTAAACACTGATATGAGGCTAACCATATGCAAATGAGTCTGTGATCAAGGAACACAGCAGTAATTTGGCACTCTAAAATGATCTATTGAATAACAGCTAAACAAAAGATGTGCATGTGATGGTTTGTTTCTACAGGCTCTAGGATTGGACAAAATTAAACTACTACATTGTTCATGTAGGTATGAGCTAGTGATGTTAAACCCGTCAGGAGGCTTGCAACGTACATCATGTTAATGTATATTTCAGTTTTCAGTTACACAGTTACTAGTGGTATGCATTGTCATAAGAAGATCTTCCATAATGTTAAAACCCTATTAGAAAATGAAAAAAGACCTTGATTAGTAGGCTTAAATAAAATCATTTAATACTGTCATACAGTACTATTCGGGTTCCAGCAATTACTGGGGGGGATTGACATGCACACAGTCAACCCTTGCCTTGTGAACACACCGATATTACGGACACTTTGCTTTTACCAACAGGAGCAAAATTCTTGTTATTGTGGTAGAAGGGTAAAGTATTATTGAATGGTACCTTCAATTCTAGAAAGAAGCTGAAGATTGACTGAAGGAGTGCTATTATAAAGATTATACACAAGCTTTTCCTTACTAAAGCATCATGCAGATGAAATTATGTTTACTAAATTCAGAAAGTGGGAAGAGTAAAGAGAGGAAAAGAACTTTAGGATTTCAGGAATTTTTGCTGTTTATATACCTTGTTTGCTCCATGATGAAAAAAACGCACTGCAAATGCCTCCAGCATTTTACCAAACACTGGTCCCAAGCCAAATGCAGTGATGACGCCTTTCTGTTTCATGACTGTCCTGTTCAATGCAAAATGCATACATTGCATATCAGTTTAAAAATTACAGTATATTTTCAAGGGTGGATACACATGTGTGGGGGGGGNGGGGAGGGGGTGGGTGGTGGGGAGGGGAGTAAATTGGGTGAGTAGTCAACCCCCTTTGGAGTCAAAAAGCCCCCATCCACAGTCCCTGTTGTCCATAGGATCATTTCGGCAGCATCCCTACACATACAAAGTTTGCTGTACGTGTATAGCATACATCGTAACTATCAATGATCATACCATTTTTCGTTGCTTTCAGATGGGAAATATGTACTGTACTCTTCAACTTTCACATAGTCTGAAGCAGTTATATTGTAACTGTGTAGCTGGAGGACTTTTTCTTTTCTGCTTAGCCAAGCTTTCTCCTCTACTTCTATAGCAGGAAATGGAAGAAACTAGAACCCAAATAAATCATATTGGTATTTTTACACAAGTGAATATAATACATCCGGCACACTCAATTAGGTCTTTTGCTACAATTTATGTCTTATGCTGTCATATTCACCTACAGGTGAATAAGGCTTACTTGCACACACTCGTTTATCAATGTGTGCCTCTAGCAGAGATAAATAAAATTTGGAAGAAAAAAAACTCTCTCTCCAACATTTATCATATTCATTTGTGTTAAAAATACTAATACAATTATTTGCTTCAGGCTCAGTGAATATCGGGGAATATTTACCTCGCTGCTCGAAGACTCATGTCTTGGTAAATATTCCCTGATATTCACTTTGACTTTTGCGAATAATTGTTAAATATAAAATGCTTTGATTTAAGAAATATAAAATGTGTGCACATGTCTCTATAATGTGATATAAACACACTGGGAGCTGTAGAGTATGAGAGAAGCAAGCTTGGTAACATGAGGCATAACAAGCCTACAGCTATAGCCTAGTTTTTCTCTTGCTTTTTAAGTGCTCTACAGGTCCTGGAGTGTTTATATCACATAACTAAGCTAAGATTCACACCTTATTAAATATTGATGGAAGTACATTGACGCACTTTCCTCTTCTAACAATGTATTCATCTCCAGTGTTTTGATCTAAAATAAAAAAGATCATGCAGTCTAATGTTGTATTAGAGAGCATACCATATATACGTGGAAAAACTATAAAACTGTACAAATTAGAACAAAGTTTTGTAGGTCTACAAGCTACTGAGGTCTACTGAGCTTACTAATTCGTGCAAATTTGTGCATAAACATACATGTACCCTGTATACGATATTTTCACCCACCTCCCCCCCCTGGAGTAATAATGCGTTACAATCACTACGTATATGTATAGGCTTTACTCTTTTGTACAAAGAATTATTTTTCTTACCTAATGTATGTTCTAGCACGATAACTGAGGTGACATTCTTGTCTTTTCCACTGGTATACTAAGGCAGGAAGCGACAAAAATAATAATAAGAATAAGAATGGGTCACGTGAAAAACACTTCAAGTCCAAAGTTCAGTACTTCGATGAGTCAATTCTTTGAAGTCATAGCTCAAAAAGACTCGTGATCGTATTACCTTTTGAAAATAGGCATGAACGACTGTTTCGAAGGAGTATTTAAAGAGGTAATGGAACTCCAAACACCTCATTACTCCATTGCAAAACCATCGCACGAAAAGAACGAAAAGAACAGGAACCAACAAAACAGTACGACAGCTGACCTTGTCTGAGCCCACGCACACAACAGACACTGCATTCTTGTTGGTCAGCAGTTAGTCCACAGGGAGCCCATCCAGGCTAGGAAAAATCGAGGGGTGTAGGGTGTGTCACCCACTTTTCTATTGGATATACAATAGCTATCTTTGGGGAAAACAAAGGGATGCATTATATGTAGAGGTGGGATGGTGGAGGAGTGACTCCAATGGCCCATTGTGTCCACTGTCCAAATATTGTCTACGGCGATGGCCTATCAGTACAACCATGGATAGAGATAGCGGTCATTTGTGGAGGGGCAGACAGAAAATCCTAAGTCCGCATTTTTACCGATAAACATAATGGAAAACAAGGGAAGGGTACTACTCTTCCCAGTAGACCGAGGTAGTTGTGATTTTTTAATCGCCTTCGTAGCGTCTGTTATGTTATCCGCAATTACATTTCAAATCGACCACGTGATGCCAATGTTGTACATGCACGAGGACAAGTTTTTTACACCACCGGATCAAAACATTGGCATCACGTGGTCGATTTGAAATGTACTTCTGGATAACATAACAAACGCTACGAAGGCGATTAAAAAATCACAACTACCTCGGTCTTCTGGGCAGAGTAGTAATTCAGTTTCGTGCAAAAATGGAGAAGGGTAGGGGGGAGGGGGGGAGACTTCTAATGTGATTTCTTAAACCTTGCCCCGGTCCCAGGTCCCAGTATTGCAGGGACTTAGCAAGGGAGGTCTCTGGATTGTTTTTAGCAATTTCATACAGTTGGTAATGTGAGTTGGCAGTGCCATTTCAGCAACTGAGTAAAAATTAAGCTTGACAGCTTTAAGTTAATCATTGATTTCTGATCTTTCCTCTCCCCTCTCGGGATTAATAGAAGCCCTAGTGTTCAGTCCCTCTCAGAGACTAATCCCATCTGAGACGGAACCTACAAGTCGGAAGATCACACTAAAGACTCAGGTAAACCATGTCTGACCAAAGTCAAATCCTTATCTCTCAAGAACAATCCTTCCACGACCAGTTCGATTTGAAAGAAGAGATAGGCAAAGGAGCGTTTAGTACAGTGCGTCGGTGCACTCAGAAGGGCACAGGGACCGACTATGCTGTTAAGATACTCAACACAAAATCAATGAGCGAGAGAGACCTCCACAAAATCGAACGCGAGGTGAGAATTTGCCGTCGACTCAGCCACCCAAATGTTGTACGCCTCCATGCAAGCATAAAGACAGACGGCTCTAGTTATTTGTTATTTGATCTAGTAACTGGAGGAGAGCTGTTCGAAGATATTGTAGCGCGTGAATATTATAGTGAAGTAGATGCTAGTAATTGCATTAAACAAGTTCTTTCAAGCGTGAATCATTGCCATGAAAACCACATCGTTCATCGGGATCTAAAGCCAGAGAATCTTCTACTCTCGAGCAAGGAGAAAGGTGCTATAGTTAAGCTTGCAGATTTTGGTTTGGCAATAGAGCTAGATAATGATCGTCCAGGATGGTTTGGTTTTGCTGGTACCCCAGGCTACCTTTCGCCGGAAGTGCTCAAGAAAGAGCCTTACGACAAAGCAGTAGATGTGTGGGCCACTGGGGTGATCTTATACATACTTCTTGTTGGTTATCCACCGTTCTGGGACGATGAAAAGGAGAAGCTTTACTCTCAAATCAAGAAGGGCTCATACTGTGTAAGTATATAACAATTTGTTTGAAATAATATATAATTTCCAGTGTGGCTGAAACATCACAGGAAATTAAGGAGTTGGCTTATAAGCAAATGTATTGGACTCATGCTGAACTACATTGTCAAAACTAAAAATTATTTTATTTTGAGATGTTTTGACCAGTAAACTAATTATACATAATTGTACAAATATTTGACCGAAACCAATGTCGTGTTGGGAAGCCTGATCACCGAGTAAACTTTCCATGCATAAAAAATTCATGTTAATTAGGCGTGCAATTGGATTAAGAATTTTAAAACAAAAATAAGACCAATATTGAGGAATTTGTGGTATTGGATGTTTTGGTAGGTGGATAGAATTTGTAATTAACAAAATTGTACCAGTAATTGGAAAGACTTGTTTGTGCTTGAAGGTCACAAAACGTAACAAATAAAAGCCACTTGAATGTTATGAACCAACTAATGAATAACAAAAACATCTGTCTTCTCTCCTTGGCATATATATGCCCTTCCTTTCCTCAGGAGGAGGTATTAAAGTTCAAAATTTCTATTTCAAATAAATAAAAATAAATAAATTCATAACATTTTAAGTCAAAAAAAAAAAAATTATATATATATTCCATTTTAATTTTTTAGCAGAAAAAAATAAGCGTATTTAATGTTTTTCTTTGTTTTTATTTTTTCTGTATTAGAATTAACATAATTGTAACATAAAAAACAAAATAGCAGTCAAATTTGACTGACTGGAAGTGAAAAAAAGCAGTCAAATTTGACTGACTGGAAGTGAAAAAAAGTTTGAAGTGTCACTATATTAATTGAAAATTGTGGAGATTACTGCAATCCCCACTCACACGCGACCAACTGAAACCTAAATCACAAACGAAGAATTGAGTTTTGGTGGACGTCAATCAAAAGGGTTTCTTAAACATGTCTAAGGATTCTGACTCTGAATTTCAAACGCAAAGCTAAAGGTATTGACTTATCTGATCTTGAAGAAGCTCAAATCATAGTCAATACCGATAGCTTTGCAGTCAAGCCATTGAGATTCGGAGCCGGAATCCTGTGAAATTTTTGAGAAAATATATCCAGAGCGAAAAATTCACAGCATGAGATAAGAGCAACGGTTTTTGCACGTGCACGTGTTCACGTGAGTATTAACGCCAGCCCTAGTGTAGAAACCAATAGAAACGATCTAAACTTGCATATCATTAGCTATTGACTTGTATAAACCATTCATGCTTTAGGTGTATTCGTTAAATATTATATTCTCGGTTGCCTGTAAATCATTATATTGATCATAATTATTATCTGATTGCATTTTCAGTATCCTTCACCTGAATGGGACACAGTTACTGCAGAAGCAAAAGACTTGATTGACAAGATGCTTGTTGTTGATCCAAGGAAAAGAATCACTGCTTCAGAAGCAATCAAACACCCATGGATTCTGGTAAGCTTCACAGTAAAAAAAACTTTATCTACTTTTATGCTGTAAGTGTATTAGAAAGTGTTGTCTCCAAAGTGTGTTACCAATTTGAAACCTGGTTTGATTTCCAAACTTGCAAGAAGAAAATGCAGGAAGTGGGATGAGTATAAAGCAGCATGCAGGGAGAGTAAAACTACCAGTGCATACGAGGCCTCTTAAAACAATCTACTACTCTTTATTTAACCTGTGTTATTGGCCATTTTGCAGAACCCTGAACAAGCAGCATCAACCATTCACCGTCAATCAACTTTAGATGGCTTGAAGAAATTCAACGCGCGGCGCAAGCTCAAAAGTGCTATAATCAGCACAATGTTTGCTGCCCATAAACGCGGATCTAGCACTAGCAAAAAGAAAATATCTGAGGAGGATTCCGTCACTACCATAATAGACGAAGGACTTGTCAGTCAGGATCAAGAGATCATACGCCTGACTCAAGAGCTCATAACAAGCATCACAACAGCAGATTATGAGACCTACACCAAGCTTGTTGACCCACACCTCACTGCATTTGAACCTGAATCTCGAGGATGTCTCATCGAAGGTCTAGAGTTTCACAAGTTCTATTTTGATAACTTTGCTGGCAAAGCCCAAACTCACACAACCTTACTCACACCTCATGTGATTACTCTTGGCCCTAAAGCTGCCTGTATTTCTTACGTTCGCTTGGACCAAACAATTCAGCCAAATGGTGAACCAGTGACACGACACATAGAGGAGACAAGAATCTGGCAGAGGAAAAATGGGAACTGGGTGAACGTACACTTTCATAGATCGTCATTTGGAAAGTAGTCAACTATATATCAAAGACAACTAACTGTTTAGTTTTTTGGTCATGTTAATGCCGTCAAATGTTCATGTTGGTTTTGAGAACCTGGAAGATGAAAAATGGAAACTAGGTGAAGATGCAATTTCATAGATCCTAATTTGGAAATTTTTCAAATATCAAAAACATAACTGTTTTAGTTTTTGGATCAGGTTATATGCCATAGAATGTTCATGTTGGAAAAAAATCTGCAAAAAAGGGAAATGGGAATTGGAGGAATTAATATCCACTTTCCTAGTTCCTCCTTCAGAAAATAGTCATTTCAAAGACTTATACCCCATTCACACCAAGGCTTATACACCATTCACACCAAGGTTTAAACATGTTTTAAAGTGGTTTAACTAAACAGGTTTGAAAAACTATCTACGAACACTGCACAATCTTTGGTGAAATAATGCATGTAAGCTATCCTTTGTCTTGCTCTGATAATATTTTAGAAAGTTTCATTATATTGTACATGTAGGTTTCTAGTTTCTCAATTTTTTCCCTAATGAAAACACAGTTTAACTAAACAGGTGTGAATGGGGTATTAGTTTTAGTTTTTGGCTCATGCTAATGCAATGGAATGTTCATGTTGGATTTTACTTGTTATTTAGGTAAGGCAGAAAAAGGAAAATGAATTTAAATTTTTCAATTCTTGGATTTTTGTAATAATTATTCCTGGAGTGAGTTCCRAATAATTTTTCTGCAAAAATCAACTCTAATTTCCATTTTTATCTTCTATCAAATTTACAAACTAGTCACTCAACAAGAGACTAAATTGGAAAGATCTGAATTAATAAAGCTAGGTCTAGAGGAAAAGTCTAGTAGTTCAGAGGAAATGAAATGAAAAAAAGGATGTTTGAATTTTTGTTGTTTGTAATAATCRCTGGAACCAGGATTTTTTTTTTCTCTGCATCTTTCAATCAGTATAATTTCCATTTAGATCTGACTTCAAACACATTTATCACTAATTCAAGAGCCTCTGGTTCAAGACTAGACTGAGCAATCACTCTGCAATATTGAATAAGACACAGTAAAAAACCCTTAGTGTATTTGGATTTGAGAACCAGAGAAATAACCTTGAATCAATGAAGAGACTCAACAAACCTACTCTACCGAGGAATTCGAAGTGAACCTGAGAACCCAGGGATGAGAGGTGACAGTGCACTACTACTGAACTTCCCTATCAATAACACCGAAATCTCCAGTGGTAGCATTTGTGAGAAATAATATATGTAATGAATAATAAATGTAAGTTGTACAATTAGGATAAAACCTTTATGGAAGGTACGTTTTTATTGGTGGTGGTGGGGGTGGG